GAACTTGACACAAGCTAGAGGCATCAAAAAGGGAGCCCTCAAATAAGAAAAAATGGATCCATAAGATCCAGCTGTGCATTTTCATTATTGATAGGGGAAGGCTTAGCCCATTGTGGGTGGGGCAACCTCTGGGCTGGTGGATCTGGGTTCTATAAGCAGGCTCATCTGTGGATGGTGGTGGCACACACCTTTAAGCCCACACTACAGAGGCAGAGGTAGGTGGATCTTTGTGAATTCAGGGCCAGCCTGATCTACAGAGCAAGTTCCAGAACAACCAAGGCTACCTCCATAGTCTCTACCATAAGTTCCTGCCATTTGAGTTCCTGTCCCTACTTCCTTTGATGAACAATGTTAAAAGCCAAACAAACCCTTTCCTCCCTAAGGTGCTTTGGTCGTGAGAGTCAACACAGCAATAGAAACCCTAAGACAAACCCTTATCACCAATGCTATGGAGGTGGTACTAGGGCGAGTGCCATTTTGCCGCGGACCGTCCCTCTCGGAGACCGCCACCCACGGGAGAACAGGGTGAAGGATAGGATAGTCAGGATACGATGCAAGGGAAATGACAGACAGACACACTGTGTAGTGAAAATCTGCTGCAACTTTACTTCTGTAAAGCTTCAGTTTTTGTACAAAACAGATCAAAGAACTTGGCAGGCGCATTACATCACCCCACTCAGGGTTCCAGACATAAATCAAGATTAAGCATAACCAAAATAGAGCTTCTTCTACGTGCTCCTTTCTACGTGTTCCCCCTTCCGTGCTCAAGATGTTGGCAAGGACTTTTAGTTTTGTTTTGTCTTTTAGAATTCTGTCTCACACCATTATTTACTTTCTACCGTGGGAGACTAGTTCTCAGGGTCCTGTGTTTAGCTTTCCATCTATATAGTTTTTATTCTTTGCTCCATATCCCCTAATAGTTTTCTCATTTTCTCATGATAGTTCCTATACCAATATATTAAAACTAGTCTCATGTTATCAATAATTTCCTTTCTTTCCTTCTTACTATAAAGACTCCAGGGCTTCTGAGATCTAGCTAATCTTTTCATAAAGGGGAATTTTCTCTAACTCTCCTTTTCTCTCTAAATCTGATTCACTATGACGATTCCCTCATAACATATCAACTTTAGCCGCTTCTGTTTCATAAATAATAAAGTTTCCCAGGCTCATGTGGCATGGGGCATACTTCAGTTCCTCAAGGACTGCTTTATTGAACGGTGGAGCCGAGCCAAGGACGTACTTTGATCTCTTGGTAAGCGGTCAGCTATAAACAAGAAAATTAAGAAATACAGAGAAAGATCAGGCAAGGTGTCAGGAGGGCTCGCTCTCAGGGCCATCTCCAGATACGAGATTTGCCTAGGGCATCAGGTCCTCTCTGGACTGCTGATTGCCAGGGGGACCACCTGGGGCTTCGCTCCAAGAAGCTCTAACCCCAATCCTTCAGCAGGCAAAAGCCAGCGCAGAGGCATTTTGTCACTACACGGCAGTCACTGCTGTGGACGTGGCACTTCTCCCTTTTTTATTTTTAAAATGAAGCTCGAACACCTCCTGTTCCACTGCCTGTAATGAAGAGAATAAGCACTTTAAGAGACAGGGGAATAAAAAGATGACCAATACTATCAAGAGTATAATTACTCCAATGAATACAAAGTACTGTACCCAATTTAAGGGATTAAGGCTCTTAAGTCCACGTTCCAATTGTGAAGCCAAATCTTGCAGTCCCCCTAATTGTAAATGAGATTGACTCATAGCAGAAATATCCTTTTGTAATGCGGCTAAATCATGAGTAATATCATTATCTTGCCACAATCCCTGTAGGTGAGCCTTAACTTTATCCCATGGCTGTGAAGTATTATAAGGTAATGGTGTGACACAGATTGATTTAAAATTACCATGACAACGTGCCAATAGAGTTGTTTTTAAATTAGCAATGTCCTGACCAAGAGCGAGCACTACCTCCTCCAGCACATTTATTTTTGCTTCCAGCTTCTTTTTGAAATGAAGAAATCCAACCAGAATTAACCTAACATAGTCAAATTTCCAACACGTTTTACGGTTTCTTTTCAAATTCAGTATTTGCAGGTATGAGAAACCAAAGCAAATACAGTTCGCGCCCCCTCTGGCCTTCTACAACTTCCCACACACCCTCGGTCAGACTTTTCCTGTCACCCTCTGCTCTTCTGGCCCAGCCAGACATTTTACTTTAGACGAACTCCTCTTTCCCTTCCCTTCTCTTCACTATTCCAGTCTCCTGCCTTCTCTTACTTTCCACACAACATGAAAACTTTTACCAAAGTCCTTCCTGTGGTTCCTCTCTGGACTTTGACTTCTTTTCCTTAAATCTCTCTCTTTCTAAGCAGAGACACAAGGAGCCTTTGCAGAGCATACTGCTTTTATGCAAATCTCTTCTTTCCCATAAAAATGGCCCCTTGCTTTTGCCCCCCCTTTTTTACTATACTTAAAGCTGCTCTAGTTTCTTCTCTTTGAAGACTTCTTCATTTGCTGCTGGAGCTGCTTTTTCTGCTTCCGCCACCGTCTTTTCCTTCTTCTGTTTTGCAACAGCAGGTCGGATGAGGCGATCTGGGATCCAAATGGGGGAGTCAGCATTCTGTGGAAACACACAAGCATACCCTCGTCCCGAGGTGATTAGAACATCCCTGTTCTAGTTTTTTGGCTCTTTAGGTTCTTCCTCTCCTTCTTTAGTGAGAGGAGAGCCATTTTTATAATATTTTGATTTACACTCACTACTCCAATGTTTTCCCCTTTTGCACCGAGGACATATGCCCGGTAAACTTTTTTTTCCTGAGCTTTTGGATTTCTTGCAATCCCTTTGAATGTGCCCAGGTTTTCCACAATTATAACAAGTAGGAGCGGTGATGCCTTCTGCACCCCCTCCATATTAAATTCTATACTATAGAAGTAGCAAATAACAGATATCTATACAACAGTAAAAATAGACTCATACCTTTGAGCCCCAGCAAAAACACAGAAAGTCCTGAGCTTGTAACCCAAACAGCATGTAGTCATAGTTTTCACTGTTTATTAGTATTATCTTAAATTACTTTTTAAACCTTTAATGTTTATGAACTTTTATATCCTCAGACCTTTATATATAATGAGCTAACAAGCTGGCCGTAGCTTTGTGTAAGGATCTGGATATCCTTTTTGCTCTTAAACTGATATTATAGCTGACCTAGCCATTAATACAATCAGAGATCTTAGAAGAATAAACAAATTATACTTAAGTCCAGACAAAACAGAAAAGTGACAGAGACCAGCTCATATATAGTCATACCCAGGTCTGCATAGCATTTGAGGCAGAAGTATCAGAACAGCAGGCTTTACCAGATCCATAAAGTGATTGGTTTCTGTGGAAGACTGACATGCAAAAGACTGACCTTACTTCGTCTAGGCAAAGTGGTACAATCAATTTTCCAAGGTCCTCCTGTTTGTCCATAGTCTGGACCAGATCCAGGCAGCTGGTGTTGCACTGGGGGTCATCTTACCCAGTGGTCAGCATCGTTGTTATCCATGTGGAGACCTTGGGTCACTGTTAGGATCTCAGAGTCTCTGTATAATATAAGCTTTTTAAATTTTTATTTTAAATGCCATTTTCTATAGATTTTTGAAGTATTTAGGACTGTCCAGGTATCTCTGATTAGACAGACTCTATTATTTTAAATTACTTGCATTTACACCAGTACTTTGAGGATGACTGATTATTAACTCATATTTTTAACAGTTTGTATCTTTAAGAAGACCAGAACTATATACCATATTTTTGTCAGATTGAAACTTTAAGTCAATAATTTTAACAAAGACAATGAGGCTAAAATTCAAAAATTAACAATATGAAACATTTTATAAGTATTTATGTTTTACAACCTATTTTATTGTAGTTAACAGTTTTGGTGATTATCATCTGACCTTGGTGTTTTTCTTTGTAACTTTTTTTCCTTTTTGGGAGTCTAGTCCCAGTTTTTCCCGGTGGTAACTGACATTCTTGTATATCAATAAAGAACAGCATAAAACAGTTTTAACATTATTTATATCAAAAAGACATCCAAATTTTTGTGAACCGAATCTAATGACCAGAGCTCAGAGAAAGATTACAAGTACAAAACTTACAATTACCAAAGATTAATTTTTTAACAAAACAAGCATACATTTTTTAAAAAGAAAAAACCATGAACCTTTAACAAGACAAACAAAGCTTTTTAAAACCAGAATTAACCATTAAACATTTAGGTACAGTAAACATCTTTTGACCTTTTATATACCTTTTATGACCTTTTATATACCTTTTGTAATTTTTAGTTTTGACCCTCTTTCATCTTTATTTTATTGGTTAAGCCAGACATTTTTAGACAACCCCCTTTTATTATTATTATTATTATTATTATTATTATTATTATTATTATTATAGTTTTAAATTGGTATGATTTAAAACTTTTTATAATCAGTGTTAGGATAGGAAAGAGTTAAGACAGGAAACTGCTGGCCAGCATAAGAGACTTTGAGTGTTATCACAGTGAAGAACTTAGCTCAGAAAAGAAAAGAGGCACAGAGAGTGTCTTTAGATTCCCCACATTTATAACAAGTGGGAGCCGAGAGGTTCTATTGACCTCCTCCATAGGTTTTCTTAACTTAGGCGCTTAATTTCTATCCCTTCATTCCTTCAGCATAGGCCATCTCTAGGACTATGTCTGGTGAGGCATCCATACATGCTTTATGTTGCCCCATGGTTCCCTTATACTTAGATTACTCACACTTAACCGGTCATCCTTTACCGGCGAACCTGCAGCGTCCTGGTGAGAGTCGTTCCTGACTATGGAAAAATAAAAGAGAAGGGGGAAAAGCTTACCTATCCTCCAGTCCCTGTTCCGAGCGCCACCTGCCGCGGACCGTCCCTCTCGGAGACCGCCACCCACGGGAGAACAGGGTGAAGGATAGGATAGTCAGGATACGATGCAAGGGAAATGACAGACAGACACACTGTGTAGTGAAAATCTGCTGCAACTTTACTTCTGTAAAGCTTCAGTTTTTGTACAAAACAGATCAAAGAACTTGGCAGGTGCATTACATCACCCCACTCAGGGTTCCAGACATAAATCAAGATTAAGCATAACCAAAATAGAGCTTCTTCTACGTGCTCCTTTCTACGTGTTCCCCCTTCCGTGCTCAAGATGTTGGCAAGGACTTTTAGTTTTGTTTTGTCTTTTAGAATTCTGTCTCACACCATTATTTACTTTCTACCGTGGGAGACTAGTTCTCAGGGTCCTGTGTTTAGCTTTCCATCTATATAGTTTTTATTCTTTGTTCCATATCTCCTAATAGTTTTCTCATTTTCTCATGATAGTTCTTATACCAATATATTAAAACTAGTCTCATGTTATCAATAATTTCCTTTCTTTCCTTCTTATTATAAAGACTCCAGGGTTTCTGAGATCTAGCTAATCTTTTCATAAAGGGGAATTTTCTCTAACTCTCCTTTTCTTCTCTAAATCTGATTCACCTTGATGATTCCCTCGTAACATATTAACCTTAGCCGCTTCTGTTTCATAAATAATAAAGTTTCCCAGGCTCATGTGGCGTGGGGCATACTTCAGTTCCTCAAGGACTGCTTTATTGAACAGTGGAGCCGAGCCAAGGACGTACTTTGATCTCTTGGTAAGCGGTCAGCTATAAACAAGAAAGTTAAGAAATACAGAGAAAGATCAGGCAAGGTGTCAGGAGGGCTCGCTCTCAGGGCCATCTCCAGATACGAGATTTGCCTAGGGCATCAGGTCCTCTCTGGACTGCTGATTGCCAGGGGGACCACCTGGGGCTTCGCTCCAAGAAGCTCTAACCCCAATCCTTCAGCAGGCAAAAGCCAGCGCAGAGGCATTTTGTCACTACACGGCAGTCACTGCTGTGGACGTGGCACCATTTAAAGCCAGAACCTCTCCTCCTGCCTCTTGCAATTGACTCTCCAGCCAAACCTGACTGAATACTAGCAGGGACATCCCCAGTTCATACTGATGGCTGGTGTACAAGTCGTATCTGCATGGGTGACAAACCAGAATGGGCAGGTAGCAGCAATACGAATGAAAATAAGCACCATGTGACTGGCAAAGGAACCATACGGATAACAATATGTGAACTTTGGTCAGTAACAACCTATACTGACAGTTGGGCAGTATTCAAAGGCCTGAATTTATGATGACCCAGTGGTAAAGGAAAAGCCATCAGGTGATTGGGCAACCACTTTAAGGGCAACAGTGGGCAGGAGAAAATTAAGAGCTGGAGTCCCTGGTAGTTTATGTACAACACCTACCTTCTGAGACCCCCCAGGGAAATGAGAAACATACCTTTACCAAGGCAAGAGCCACAGGAGCCAGCATAGGATGGGATGGAAAATACCAAATGCTGGCATACTGGTAAAACCCTCCAACATTCAGCATGCTATCCGGTCCTGTGATGTTGAAATATGAGCGGCGGGGCTGCGTCCCCAACACCCTGGCCCCTTGGCTAGCTCATGCCCGAAATAACAACACACAAACTGTATTCATTTAAAGAACTGCTTGGCCCATGAACTCTAGCCCTTACAGGCTAATTCTTGCACCTGGACTAGCCCATTTCTAATGATGTGTGTAAGCACCCCAAGGTGCGCTTACCGGGAAGATTCTAGCCTCCGTCCATCGTGGATCTGAGCTTCATGCGTCTGCCTCAGAGTGCAGAGCTATCGCGTCTACCCGGGAGAGCTGAGCATGGCGTCTCTCCGGAAGCAGAGCAGAGTCTGACCTCACTTCCTCTTCTGCCCAGAATTCTATTCTGTTTACTCCTCCCATCTATGTTCCAAGCCATGAGGCCAAGCAGCTGGTTTATTATAACTTAACCAATGAAATCAACAGATTGATATATGACACTCCCACATCACTTCCCCTTTTTCTGTTTAAAAAAAAAAAAGAAGGCTTTAACTTAACATCCAAAACTCTAGAAATGACAGAGACATCTCGCTGCCTGGACAGTCACCCAAAGTTCCTCTGTACCGTTGGGGCATCCATCTTCGGCCTACAGGCCCATAGTTTCCAGCAGACATTTCCACAAAGCAGGAAATTTCAAAGGCAGTCACTATCTGCTTGTCCTGAAGAATGTCTTGCAGACTCTTTCATGAATCAGGAACCCCGAAAGATCATCTCACCTTTAGGCAAGTTCAGCAGTCCTCTCTCTGCGGGTTCTCTGTGTCCAGTTTATGCAATAGTCCAGGCAAGAGCAGTTTCTTGCCCAAATGGCTATCAAACTCCATAAGGATCCTCTTCGATGCCCATCTTCCTCTTGAAGTAGATTGGTGCTGCCAGGAGCAGAGTGTCTCATTGTCATGAAAAGTCCTAAGTTATTAAAACATGTAAAATGCCATATTCTCTAGTCTTTGAAAGATATGAAGAATGCCTATCTAAAATATATCTATGCACATCTAGAAAATCTTAACTAACATAACTACAAGCTTAACTACTATTAATGATTATTCATTAACAACCTATATACATTCAAAATTGACCTTAAATCTCTATCAATAAAGCAAAATCTATACTAATGCAAATTATTCATATCTATATCATATCCCCCTTTAAATGTAAAAGAACATTTATAAACCATATTTGGGAACATGGGCGCAGTTTTTTCTCTCCAAACTGCTTCCTGCTGAATGGGGGCGTCGTTAATTAGGTCTTTCATGGTATAACCTGTGTGCTAGTTTCATCTCAGTTGGCAGTTGAGCGAAGCAATTTTCTGAAGGTATTCACAGCAACCGTTCAGGAGGGCGTGGTCCATCATACCATATCGGAATAGAAGAAATGAACAGGGTCTCATCCTCTGTGAAAACAAAAAAAGAAACTCCTTTCCAAAGTATCATGTCCTTAGATCCAAATTTCAAAGTCAAGGCATCAAAATCTCTACGTTGGATTAGTTCAGCAGCATTTATAAACAAATATCTTTTGGCAGCTGTTGCTCCTTCCTCAGCATTCAAACAATTCAAAGAGAGCATAATAGTATACAGTATCAAGATTCTCTGTGTATTTTCCATCTTTGTACGCTTTATTTTAACCTCTATTTCGTTTATTTTTACTTTTATTTTATATTCTCTGTATCTCTTTGACCTGGAATAACTCTGTAGACCAGGCTCTCCTTGAACTCTCAGAGATCTGCCTGTCTCTGCCTCCCAGGCATTGGGATTAAAGGTGTTTGCTACTACACCTTGAACTCACAGAGATCTGTTTGTCTCTGCCTTCTAGGCACTGGGATTAAAGGCGTGTGCTACCACACCTTGAAGTCACAGAGGTCAATCTCCCTCTGCCTCCCAAGCGTTGGGATTAAAGGCGTGTACTACCACACACAACTTCTCTTTTTCTTACTTTTTTTTTTTTAAGAACTTTTAACTTTTAGCTTGCATATATTTTTAACACACTGTAAATCATTTAAACATTTTCTTTGTCTTTGAATCTCTTTACTGTATATCTCTCTTTTTCTGACCACACGAGCCTTTAAATTACTGAGCAATATGAGTAGGATTAAAGCCGTGGCTTTGCCAGCTAGATCCAGTCCATTCCTTAGCTTTCCAGCCTCATGGCGGAGATACAGGCTGTAGCCATGTTTATAGCCACAATTCTATGGCGTTTCAAGGTCCCTGCCAGCCAGCGAGCTACAACAGACAACAGTCAAGTCCTCTCTCGGTAGTTGGCTCTCCTGCCTCAGTCAGAGTTTGCCCTGGCAGGACGGCCCAGAAAGCCGGCATTTTTAAACAGCACAGCTTTTTTCCTGCTACGGCTGAAAACCGAAAAGCATGCGTTCAGCTTTTCACCAACACCGTTTAAGTGTTTTGTGGCAGGACCTCTTAATGAGCTGCAGGGTTTTGCAGCTGAAGCTGAGTCAGGAAGCCTCTCTTAGATGAGAGTGCTTGCTTGCTTCTAACAAGCAGAGGAGACCCGAGAAACTGCTGCTACCAAGAAAACATGCTTTACTCTTTCCCAAGCTTTTTCAGGCTTTCTGTGGATTCAGTTATCCACACGTCTGGGCGCCATCTGTTGAAATAGGAGCGGCGGGGCTGCGTCCCCAACACCCCGGCCGCTTGGCTAGCTCATGCCCGAAATAACAACACACAAACTGTATTCATTTAAAGAACTGCTTGGCCCATGAACTCTAGCCCTTACAGGCTAATTCTTGCACCTGGACTAGCCCATTTCTAATGATGTGTGTAAGCACCCCAAGGTGCGCTTACCGGGAAGATTCTAGCCTCCGTCCATCGTGGATCTGAGCTTCATGCGTCTGCCTCAGAGTGCAGAGCTATCGCGTCTACCCAGGAGAGCTGAGCATGGCATCTCTACAGAAACAGAGCAGAGTCTGACCTCACTTCCTCTTCTGCCCAGAATTCTATTCTGTTTACTCCTCCCATCTATGTTCCAAGCCATGAGGCCAAGCAGCTGGTTTATTATAACTTAACCAATGAAATCAACAGATTGATATATGACACTCCCACATCACTGTGAGGCTTGCTCCCAGTTTTGGCCCCTGTGCATGGATGCAATGGCAGAATCCATGTGTGAGATCTGCCTGATAAGGGACTGCCAGTCAGTGAGTGTGTATGTCCTCACTTGTGTAGACACACCACAGGCCTTTCCCTGCAAGCAAGCAACATGTGAGGTGGCCCTAAAGAGCCTGAACCAACTAGATGTTATACACATTGCCCACAGAGAACTAAGCACAGAGAGGGACGACTCACAACTGTAGTCACTAACATGGGGTAGCTGCCTTCCAGGAGACTCCTCTGCCTCCTCCTGGGCAGCTTGCTCACTCCCATACCTTCTGTTCTATGTGATCCACAAAAGCTTGGCCTCAGGAAGTTCTGGGCATCCCACAGAGCTTCCAGGGTCCTCTTGCTGATCCCAACCATCTTACCCTCATAGCTCAGTTCCACCTGTGGAGTACCACCAAGTCCACATTCCAAACAAAGCTTAAATAATGTGGTAATTCCAGCAGAAATGCCCTCAGGCAGGAACCAGAATGACTGGAGGAGAGCAAAAATGTGGCTAAGGCAATGACATATGGAAGCCAGTCCTGTGTTCCCAAATCTGCACATGGCAAACAAATCCACCCACCATCATTTTTGTCAAAGCCTTACAAGTCGTGCACAGTAGGGCCTACTGGCCAATCCCTTGCAAATGGGTTCACACAGACTCCAAACAGCCAAACTGGGAGTAGAAACAGGGCAGTAAGTTCTCATCTGCTTGAATCACTACAGATCCAAGACATCTCTTTGAACAACCTTCAGATGAAACTGATAGAAACTAGACTCTCTGTGGTAAAGAGCAGGTAGACTTACAGCAGCCCAGAAGACTGGGGCAGATCTGTGTCCCCGGGACACCACTTGGGTACCCTGCCTCACATGAGTCTAAACTAAGCACAGCTGGATATAGCAGGGCTGCCGTATTACAAAATGGGCCCAGTGCTCCTGTGCCACCTCCCCAGGATCCCTGTGGAAGTATCCAAGCCCTCTGTCCTGTCCTCCAGGCTACAAGAAAGGCAGAGGACTCTGGGAAGAAACTTGCCCAAAGATTCCAACTCTGCCCAATACCCGACTGGCCAGATATACTCCCTTTAAAAAAAAAAAATTTATTTGAACGCAGAGACATGGTGGTAGACCCTTGTGCCTCAGCACCAGGGAAGCTGAGCCAGGGGGACCACAAGTTACAGGCCAGCCTGGGCTACAAAGTGAGAGTCTGTCTCAGACACAAAAAGAAAATTCTTAGGAGATGAGGCCAGGTCAGGTGAGAGTGAAGAACTGGGTGCAGAGGTGATCCTGTAGGCCCAGCAGGCCTTTGGATGAGATGAACTCCAGGGGCACTGACCCAGGTGCCTTCTTCTTCAGGTCCTGCTCAAAGATCTGCAAAGGACAGACAATGGGTGGCATTGGGCTGGATGCAGTAGTCCCCGTGGCCTGCACCCCAATAGCCCTGTGCGCAGCTCTCACCTCATAAGCAGTAAGTTCCAGGAGTGGCGCAATGCTGACCTCAGGGACAGATAGCACCTGGTTGATGACCCCGGCAGCTCTGGATACCTCAGGATGGTAGTGCTGCTGAAGAGTCTAGAAGCAAGTTAGAGTGATGTCAGAAACCTCATGACATAGCAGCAGGGCCTTAGAATGGAGCTTGAAGCCCTGAGCCAGTGTGGGGTCACCAGCAACCGAGTATCTTAGCATACCCTGGCATGGTGCCCTGTGTGACCAAGATCTCTAGGGGCTGCTGGAGATGTGTCAGTGGAGACTCAAATGCCTTCTAGAAGCTGGACAGGCAGATGACTCACCTGCAGCTCCCACAAGCAGCTCTCCAAGGCATGGCTCCTGGCTGGGTCCTTCTCTACTGGGTCATATGGATCAGCATCTAGCTCTACAAACAGGATCAAGATTCCATTTGCCACCTGGCCTTTTGGACCACAGGAGCCAGGGTGTGCCATGATGCCCAGCTACTCACGCTCACTAATGCCCTGTGGACGATGCACCATAACTCGGCAGGCAGGGTGTCTACGCAACAGGTTGCAGATAAAGGGCAGGACCATAAGAAGGGCCTCAGGAGGTGCTGTTAAGGCCAGCCGGGCCAGGCGTTTGGCAAAGGCAGCCACCAGGTAGGCGGGGAGGTGGCTGGGAGGGAAATAGGTATGAGAAAATAGGTCCCCAAACATCCTTCCACTGCCTCCCTAACCAGAACTATAGCCCCCACAGACCATGGAGCTGGATATTCCCAACACTCACGAGGAAGAAAGGAAGAGGTCGGCCAAGTGAAAGAACCGGGCTCGGTACTTGACGTGAAAGATGGATGGATCCAGGAGGCCATAGAGCTTTTGATAGAAATCAGGGTATTCCCTGAGGGAGGGAGCAGAGAGGACACAGGAGGTGAACTGGTTAAAGGAAAAGAAACCCCCAGGTAACCAAGGCTCCTCCTCTTGCACCTCTTCTGCATTAACCTCCCAGGTGAGCAACAAAGGCCTTTGAGAGAAAACTAGACAGCAGACCAGTGTGGTCCTATTTGGTACTCACAGGTTATGCTTATGGATTAGGAGGAAAAGCCCATTCAAGGCCAGGAGGCTGATGGCACCACCTGCAGAAACACAGGAAGACATGAGGCTACCTACACCTTGCTCACCCTGGGCCTGAGTAGGTAAGGGAGGAGTGGGCATAGATACAGGTGGCCAGCCTATAGAGAGACTGACTACCTACGGTCACATGCAGGAAGATCTGTCAGGCAGGAGATGGCAGCTGGGCCCATGCACAGTGAGTGCCCCTCGCCCAATAACCTAAGTGGAAGTCCCACTCACCCACATCACAAGCACTTGTGAGGAAGTCAATCATGAGGGTGGGCTGAGCCAGGTGGGGCAGGATGGAGTCATGCATAGCCACTAGGACCTTCTTGTAGAGGCTGAGGGGCAGCTGCAGAGATCATGGCAGTCATGGAGCTGCTCCCCTTGCCCCCACTGCCCACAATAAAACCAGGGGCTTCACCCACCACACCCTACCTTATGTTTAAGGAACCCAAGCCACATCTCCTGGAAAGCTTTTCTGTGCTCCTGCAACGGGACCAGGCAATATGTGTATCCTGATAAACCCCAGACCCACCCAGTCCTTCTGCAGTCAACTGTGGGCCTTTGACCCTCAAAGACCCAGGCCAGTCTGTGATGCCAAGTCTCAGCACAAGGAGAGACAAAGAACAGAGGGGCGCAGGACTCAGGTCTGAAGCTGGTTATAGTAACACATAAAAGTGGCATCACTTGAGACAATGGAGTACATGCTATTGCCTATAACTGCCCAGAGAGGAGGCCATGCCAAGCAGTCTCTAAAAGCATCTCACCTTCAAGTGAATGACCTTCCACTTGTCTGATGTCTCTGAAATCACAGCAAAAAGGGGAAGACAGTGGCTAGCCAGGCTGAGAGGCCTGGATCTCTCCAGGAGCCCTCCTACCAGGATCAGGCTCCAGTGGGCCTTAACCTGCTCAGAACTCACGTGTGTGCTTCACATAGAACTTGGTAAGGTCATGCTCTTGGAGGGGCAGGTTCACAGCAGACAGCAACATGAAGGCATTGTTCCAGAAGGTGGGTGACACCTGCAGAAAGCCTAGCCTGAGCAATTGTTCAGGCTGCTGCCATCTACTTGCCTCCCTGAGGCACTACGGCATAGGATGGTGATAGAACCCAGCTTTTACCTCAGATTGCTGGCTGGTGGCTTGGGCTACAGTGCTTGTGGCCGCCTGCATTGTGTGGTACTGGATATCATCATATTCCAAGTATTCGCAGAACTGGGAGATAAGCAGGCTGTGGTCATCCTCGGGTGTGAGCAGGCCTCCTACCACTGCCTGGGGAGAAAGACAGGGTGAATGACTCTCTTCCACAAAATGGTCCTAGCATGGTCAAGAAGGATGTCACCATCCATCAAGCTCCATACCACCAAGCTGTCTGCCATTTCCTCTCCAATTCACAAGACAGAATATAGTGATATGTCATTTGTATTTCAATAAAGTTTGCCTGGAGATCAGAGAGTAAAACATCCCCACTGGTCAGCCTTACAGACTAGACAATGGTGACACACACCTTTAATCCTAGAAGCTATACTAGTTTGCCATCCAAACTGGGTGGAAGTAGTGCACACCTTTAGTTCCAGCACTAGAGAGGAATATAGGAGGCAGCTCTCAGTCTCGTTCTGAGGATTCCTGGAGACGGCATCACCATTTCACAATGAGGTAGAGGTAAAAGCCAGTGGCTGGCTATTTTGCTTTTATTAACTTCAGGCTGAATGCCAATATCTGTCTCTAGGTTTTTATTGATTGTGCTACAACAGAGACCTGTGAGCAGGAAGCCTTGCTTAGTTCCCAGGTCAAAGCAAGATAGGAACATAATATGCCCCAACTATCTGTTCAGGAAACTAACTCACGAAACCATCTTAGGCTTGGCCACCACAGTCTTCCAGAACCCACTAAGGCCTTACCCTGAAGAGTGTGCGGGGGAAGAGGTAGTGACTTTCCCACTGGGGCTTCTCCAGGGGTTTCGCTCCTTCCAGCTGCACAAACTTCATGAGTGTCTTGAGGGCCAGCTCCTGGGAAGCAGAGAAAGAGTAACCATGATGTCCCCATCTAGATGGCCTCCCAGAGTTCACCTAGCCTCAGGGTCGCTCCCAACCAGGCTTTGGCCTGGGCCAACAAGTAGGAGAGAAAGGAGACCACATCTTACCTTGCTCCGTGTTACACGTATGTGATGATGGTAACAGTGACATGCTCTTGTTGACTTGGGACAGAACTTATAACAGAATTTGGCCTGAGGCATGTACATAAGCTGGGCTTGCAGGGGAAGCCACCTAACTGCTCTCTCATCAAGCAATTTTGGAGATACCACAACAAACATGACAATATGCAAAGCAGATACGGTGCCCAGAACTAGGGTTACAGACACCATATCTTCAGAGTCAGATAAATCATACCACAAATACCATACCATAAATCTTTGTGGAAGAAAAAGAGCAATGAAGACATATAACTTCTCTTAAACAGGGAGAGAGGTGTTCACAAAAGCAGGCCCTACCTGTGCTTTAGAGAAGCTGGGCCAAGGACTTCAAGACTCACCTTGACTTGGAAGGAGGGATGGGTCAGGAGCTCCTCCAGGCGATTACAGCAGCTGTGATAGCGGTGTCTCATCCAAACTTTGTATTTGTGTGTGGCTCCCTGGGATCCTGAGAACAGAGGAGAGCTAACTCCCATTGATGTTTGTGTGCCAAGCCAGACCAAGGTCCTAAACTCAGTCCCGCCTTCCCAATGTCTCCCATCTTCAGCTGTGAACCTGTACCCAGACCAGGCCTTGGAAAAGACCATTTCTGATCTCTGCAAACTGGGACTAGATATTGAAATACAGTTCTTCTCACTTTGCCTCAGGATCTGGATCTCCCAAACACTAGGGCAGTGACAGCACCAAACTTTGAAGTGGCACAATTAAAACCCTGAGGAAAAAAGTTGCTAGTATACGAGTTCGTGAAGGCCTGGCAAGTACACGGATCTCACTTTCTGAGCCACAATGGACTGAGTCCTCCTACACCGTCTAGTCTATGACAGGGCCCTGGTTTGGCGTGTTCCTCCTGGCGGACAGCACCCCAGCCCCTCCAGGTCACTGTACCTGCCAGGACCCCGTCCTCGGGCGGCAGCGAGCCCACGAAGAGCTCTTCCCGCTCCAGCAAGGTACCGAAGAGTCGGCTGCACGTGCGCACCCCTTCCTGGATATCCTCAGGGTCCTCGGACTGAGGCGGGAGGTCAGAAAGGGTGACGCTGGGCCCAGCTGTGCCTTCCGTTTGCCGCCCCAGGGCCGCCCCCGCCGCTCACCTGAAGTGCAGCCAAGATGTCAAACACCGCATTGGCCTGGCCACGGCTCGTTAGCACCGCCTGTAGTAGACGACCAAGCTCCCCACGGGAGCCCGCAGAAGCCAGGTGACGATCCATGCTGCCGCTAGGGACTACCGAGTTTGGTCGCGCCTGTGACGTCTGCGATGGCTCGGTCTGATCACGTCATCAGGGAGCGCGAGGAAGAGCGACGGCGTGCTGCAACTATGGCACTATTCCACGTAGCGCGGTACGCAGGCCCGGAGGCTTCCGGACTGGGGGATGCAGAGGTAGAGGCGGGTAGCCGGGCACGAGTGCTGCTCGAGCGGCTGCAAAGCCGAGCCCGTGAGCGGCAGCAGCAGGAACCGAAGCCTGAACCCGCCGGGGAGGCCGCGGAAGCGGCAGGTAAACGGCGTCGACGGCCCCGGCGGCGGCGTGGCTGCTCTGTGGCTCAGAGCCCGGAGGCTCCTAGGGCGAAGCGGCAGAAAGCGGACTACAGTGTGCATGCAGGTGGGCCATGTGGCCGAGATGTGGACGGGGCTTGGAGGCTTTTTCCTGGGTGCGCTGCGGGGTTTATGTCCCCTCTGTTGTTGTGTCGCGCAGGGAGAGGCGAAGAGTCGCCTGGAGAGCTCAACACCGACTTAGAGGACTCAGGTGAGAAGCCCCCAGAGGAGGCCCCGAGACCCCCGGCTCCAGGGCCTGTGCTGGGGGACTTTGCAAGAAGGAAGACACTGAAGGTGAGTGAGTCTGGCCGTCCTCCCGCTACTCTTCAGCTTTATCGGGGAGGGGTGGGAGTGTTGTTTGTGGATTTTGTTTTGTTTTTGCCCTTACGTGGCCCTAACTGAAAGACCCCCGCCCCAGCCACATTGTTTAAACCTAGCTTGGCTGCTGTAACGCCATTTTGCAAGGCTTCCACACAAACAAATATAAGCTCAGGGCAAGGTCAGTACTCTTAGACTGCCAAACAGGATATCTGTGGTCAGACATCTGGCTTGGGAGGGGCACGGAAAGGTCTGGGGAAAACCACATGTGCCCTAGATAGAACTAAGTCAGTTATTATCAGATCTCCATGTACCCGAGGGACTTGTCATCAAATGAACCCATCGCCACATTTGAACTGACCAATGAAATCCCTGTAACCATGCATCTGCTTCTGTACGCCCTGCTTCTGCCACCCTTTTTCCTATAAAAGGACCCTTACCCAGTCCGCTGGTGCGCAAGTCTTCCGAATAGACTCTGCCGCCCGCAGGTACCTGTGTACTCCTCAATAAAAGAAACCTCTTGCAGTTTGCATCCGTGGTCTTGGCCTGATCCTTGGGTTCAGGGGTCTCCTCCTGAGCAAAAGTCCTCCTGGGGGGGGGAGTCTTTTATTTGGGGGCTCGTCTGGGATCAGGGACCCACCATTGGGAGGTAAGCTGGCCAGCGCTCTGTCTGAGTCTGTGTCGTTCTGTTATTCAGTACAATTCGATCGAGTCGCTCAGTATCTGGCAGGCCAGGGAAGGAGCTGACGAGCTCAGGCCCCCCCCCCCCCCAGCCCTGGAAGACATTCCAAGGATGTCCGCAGCCCTACATGGTTCTGGTTGGAGAAGAGGGATCCCGACCCTCGGAGTCTCCATAATCCGTACCTGTTTGTCATTTCTGTTAAATTTTGCTTTCGGTTATACGCTGAAGCCGCGCCGCGCGTCTGTTTTGTCTCTGCCTCAATGTTGGATCTTTCTGTTTAATATTAAATACCTTTCTCTTTGAGAAGATGGGACAATCTTTAACCACCCCCTTGAGTCTCACTCTAGATCAATGGGCTGATGTCCGGGACCGAGCCAACAACCAGTCGGTCGATGTTCGCAAGAAGAAATGGGTGACTTTTTGCTCGTCCGAATGGCCCTCTTTTAATGTTGGATGGCCAAGGGACGGTACCTTTAATCTTGATATTATTTCCCATGTAAAGACATGGGTGTTCGACATAGAACTTCACGGACACCTTGACCAAGTTGCCTACATTGTCACCTGGGAGAGTCTGGCATGTGACCCTCCCTCTTGGGTCAAGCCCTTTGTCATCTCTGACAAACCTCAACCTCCTCTTACCCCTACGGCCCCTAAGGCACCCCTTCCACCAGGAAGCCAGCCCCTTACCCCTCTTCCCCCTTCCTCTGCGCCTACCACCTCCTCCCTTTACCCCGCTCTCCTCAAGGAGAAACCTAAACCTGCCACCCCTCCCATTCTTCCCCCAAACCCAGATTCTCCCCTCATTGACCTCTTCTCAGAAGAACCTCCTCCCTATGTAGAAAGCCAGGAGGGGCCAGAGGCAGTCGCGGCAGTAGGCAGACTGCCTGAACAAAGCTCCCTGGCACCCTCACCCATGGCCGGGCGGCTCCGAGGCAGAAGCGAGCCGCCTCCTGACTCCACTTTTCTCCCCTTGAGGGAGGGCCCGAATGGCCAACAGCAGTACTGGCCATTCTCTGCCTCTGATCTTCACAACTGGAAACAGCATAATCCTCCCTTTTCCGAGGATCCGGTGGCGCTGACTAATCTGATTGAGTCCATTCTAGTCACTCACCAGCCCACTTGGGATAATTGCCAGCAGCTCTTTTTGGAGGCCCGGAAGAACATTCTGGGTGACAACGGCCACCCGACCCAATTACCTAACAAGATTGACGCAGCTTTTCCACTGACACGTCCTGATTGGTATTTTACCATGGCTGCAGGTAGGGGACACCTACGTCTTTATCACCAGTTGCTCATAGCGGGTGGGGGGGGGGCAGCACGCCGACCCACTAATTTGGCTTAGGTAAAGCAAGTGATACAAGGGAAGGAAGAGACACCCTCAGCCTTCCTAGAGAGGCTTAAGGAAGCATACAGGATATACACTCCTTATGACCCCGAAGACCCTGGACAAGCCACTAGCGTGTCAATGTCCTTCATTTGGCAGTCCAGTCCAGACATCAGAAGCAAGTTGCAGAGACTGGAGGGTCTTCAGGGGTATACTTTGCAGGACTTATTAAAGGAGGCAGAGAAGATTTTCAATAAGAGGGAGACTCCAGAAGAAAAGGAGGAAAAACAATGGCAGAGAATGAAGGAGGCTCAGGAAGAGAGGGACAAAAAGAGAAATAAGGAATTGAGCAAGGTGCTGGCCACCGTAGTTCATGGACAGAATAGAGAGGGAGATAGGCTGGAAGACCGAAAGGGGGCCAAGAAGGACCAATGTGCCTACTGCAAAGAACGAGGACATTGGGTCAAAGACTGACCCAAGAGGTCTAGAGGACCCCGAAGACCCAAACCTCAGACCTCCCTCTTGACGCTGAAGGACTAGGGAATCCAGGGCCAGGAGCCCCCCTCTTCCCCCCCCCAAGCCCAGGATAACTCTTGATGTGGGGGGGGGGGCAACCAGTCACCTTTCTAGTAGATACCGGGGGCCCAGCACTCGGTCCTGGCTCATATGCCAGGACCACTCAATGACCGTTCTGCCTGGGGTCCTAACCCAGAAACTAGGCCCCTGGAGGCGTTCTGTAGCCTATCCAAGAAACTCGACCCAGTTGCATCGGGATAGCCGCCTTGTCTAAGAATGGCAGCGGCTATTGCAGTTCTTACCAAGGACGCGGGTAAACTGACTCTGGGCCAGCCATTGGCCTCATGCAATGGAGGCCTTGGTCAAATAGCCTCCGGACCGCTGGCTTTCCAACGCCCGCATGGCTCATTACCAAGCCATGCTTCTGGATGCAGACTGAATGCAGTTTGGGCCTGGGGTCATACTCGACCCTGCGACCCTGCTCCCCTTGGCTGGGGAGGCAGAGCAGCATGACTGCCTCCAGATCCTTGCGGAAATGCACGGGACCAGACCAGACCTGACGGATCAACCCCTTCACGACGACACTGACTGTACCTGGTACACTGATGGCAGTAGTTTCCTGGCGAATGGGGAACGGAAAGCGGGAGCAGCGGTGACCACAGAGACTGAGGTAATCTGGACAAAAGCCCTCCCTCTGACCGATTTGGGAGACACCAGGCCATCCCGATGCCCACTGCTCTATAGTCAAGAGGACATCGATCTCCTAAAGAAAATGGGGGCCACGTATGACCCCAAAGAACAACAACACGAAACAGCAAAGATGGTGACCAAGAAACTCCTGGAAGAAATCTTCCCCAAGTATGGGATGCCTCAGGTCCTGGGCACTGATAATGGGCCCGCCTTCGTCTCCCAGGTAAGTCAGTTGATGGCCAAGCTTTTGGGGATTGAATGAAAATTACATTGTGCATATAGACCCCAAAGTTCAGGACAGGTAGAATGCATGAATAGAACAATTAAGGAGACCTTATCCAAATTAACGCTTGACTGGCACTAGAGACTGGGTGCTCCTCTTACCACTGGCCTTATATAGGGCCCACAACACTCCGGGCCCCCATGGACTGACTCCTTTTGAAATACTATATGGGGCCCCAACCCCATTTATAAATTTCTTTGACTCAAACATTGCTGATTTTGCCTTCTCTGGAAGCTCATTTGCAGGCATTGCAGATTGTGCAAAGAGAGGTCTGGAAGCCACTCGCTGCAGCTTACTGAGACCAACTGAACCAGCCGGTGGTACCGCATCCCTTCCAGATAGGAGACATTGTTTGGGTCCGCAGACACCAGACCAAAAACTTGGAACCTTGGTGGAAAGGCCCTTACACTGTCCTCCTGACTACCCCAACAGTACTAAAAGTTGACAGCATCGCAGCCTGGATCCACGCCTCCCACGTCGAGGCCGCCCACACCACTGGGGAGACAGAGCTGATTGCGACATCAGCATGGAGAGTCCAGCGCACCCAAAATCCTTTAAAGATAAGACTTACCCATGGGGCCCCTTGACTATTATATGGGCTCTGCTGAGGCTGGGAATGGCGACCCAAGAGGGGAGCCCACATCAGGTGTACTCTCTGACGTGGCAAATCCAGTCCCAAAGCGGGGAGATTGTTTGGGAAACCCAGGGCAACCATGCGCTTAACACCTGGTGGCCCACTCTAACACCTGATTTCTGCCAGCTGGCCGCGGGGCTGGATTCCTGGGATATCGCCGATACGGATTATTCTGGACTAGACAAGACCATGGAACCCACCTCAGGAGGGCAAGGGGTAGAAGGCTGTTCCAGCCCTAGAAGAAGATGCATATTAGCAGGAGCATACTT